CATTATTATAATACTATTAGGAGGAATGTTAGGAAATAGTTTTTCAGTAAGCCACTTCGTGAAATTTTCTTGGTTCATTTGACCGTGATAATCACCAGTGGCACAGCCAGCCTTGAAAATGAGACAGGCTCCAGGAACAAAACCATCTTGCGAACCCGCATGAACAATTATAAGTCGTCCTGGAAATGAATAAATAGCCTCATTTTAGTGTTATTTTAAGTTTGCCAACACCTTTTTGAATCACTATGTATAAAAAACATATTTTTGAGAAAAAAATACTTGCAAGGGATTATGTATTCAATTAGACAAATTAAATGAGCACTTATTAAGAATATTCCAAAATTGAGAAAAATGTATAATAAGCAAAATCGAGGTGAAAGAAACTTTATTACCTGTAGAACTTATATTGCTCAGGACACCCATAATTTCTTCGCTTTGCCAGCATTTCTTGAAAGTGAGGTCATTATCAACCCAAGTTTCGTCCAAATAAATAATATGCCTTCCTTCTTCCCGGAACTTTTTAATAGACCTAAGATACTTGTATCGCCAATGTAAAATACTGGGTCTTTCCATTAGTAATTTCCTTTTGTTGTGGCATTTACGCCAGTAAAATCCTTTTGCTTTTAAAAGCAGCCTCAACGATTCTTTACCAAATGGAAATTCCATTTCTTCCTTCAGTTTGATTAGAAGTTTACTACAAGTAGGTACCACTTTAAAATCACAGTAAAATTTTTCTATCATTCTCCGAATAATGGAAAAATCGACTCCATCAATTTTTTGGATCACAGAAGGGCGTGATCTCTTTTTTCCGGGAGAAGCTAAAGGCTGTGTGGAGGTTGCATTTTGCCTGTCTTTATCTTCTTTTCTAATTTTACTTATAGTTCGTTCACTAACACCCGTATAATATGCCGCCCTTGCATTTCTAGCTACCAGTGGATAAACGAAAGTATTGTTAGCCGCTTCTGCATCGCAAGCACGTATCACGTTTGCTATTATTTCCCTTGCCTGGCTGTGAATAACTTTCCCATGCTTGAATTCCATTATCACCACTAAACAGTAAATTATATTTTCAAAGTATTTGCCAACTGCCTACGCCTATGGGAGTAGGTTTATAAATGACCGTGCCATCGGCACGTTATTCTAGTTTCAGATAAGATAAGAGTTTTGGACCAATCAGCGACCGGATGTTTACCTGCGGCCTGGGTTTTCCAGCTACATTGCCAAATTCAGCGGAACAATTCTATATCTTAAATATGTTAATATGTATGGACCGCATTTTATGTAGAACATCTGACAACTTCGCAATTTTTTGTCCGCATTCTTTCGGCTTGCAATCTTTCGCTGGTCCAACTATACTTGTAGTGTGTCCTGCGTTTACCCACGTTTCATCAAGGTAATAAATCTTCCTGTTTTGATTTCTATATTTCCCAATTTTTGTTAAATAATCCCTCCTCCATAGCACAATTTCTTCTCTATCCAGTAGTAAACTATTACGACCCCGTTTTTTCCATTTGAAATTTAAATGCTTCAGTAACGCATGGAAAGTTGATCGTTTGAAATTTGGCAACGTTGTATCTCCATTTACCTCCTGCAGTACTTTATCTATAGTAGGTGTTTCATTCCTAAAGAAGAATTCATGCACTTTCCTCCTAATCGCATGCTTATCAGCTTCATCCAATGATTTAACAATACTTTTGCGATGTTTACTGGTCATTGGCTCAGAAAAGGTGTGATTTTTTTTGTATTGTCTTAACACATTAAACACTGATGCGCGACACACCCCAACTTTGTGAGAAACCTTCACAACAATTTCTTTGATGGTTGATGCCTCGTTCTCCTCGCGCTCGGTCTTATATATATTCAAAATGACCTCTTTCATTTCTGCACTCAGGTGTCTTTTTTAGAGCATTTCCTAGGTGGACTACAGGAGTTTACAACTTCATCGGCAGTATCTGTACTACTGGGCATTTTGCGCAAGCAGTTGATAACAATAACAATCAATAACAAGGTATAACAATAACAACGACAAACTCAACAACTTAATAAGATAACAAACGAAAACGTCCAAAGAAATATCAAATTGCAATGATGCACACGACATACGTAACACGTCTGAACCTGAATGTGACTCTGCCTTGATACGACTGCCCTACCGCTCGGCATAGGCATTTAATTGCGAATTGACCAATGAGGGCTCCTGTTTTACGTCGAGATGGCGGCGTTAGCGTGAAAATCACCCGAACCTTTTGTTTACATCCGGTCTATCTCTTATCTGAATATACTTTACACACAACAATATTATTTTCAGTTGTGATCGTTTTCGAAGCCGAAAATATGAACTAACCGACCAATCAGGGCGCTCTTGACGGCAAGGGGCGAACTCTACGGGTATCGTAAAGGCTTATCCCCTCTCCAGGTAAGAACCGGTCAACATAATAGAGGCCACCGGCCATTTCATAAGCAGTCAGACATTAGCGCGAAGATGGATCCGATAATGAACAAAGGGATGTTTGAAAATGGTCCTAGCTGTAACAGCGTTACAGATAATGAGGGTTCTGCTGCAAGTTTTACTTTGAAGGCGTGGCCCCAAGGCTTCGGGTGGCACCAGGTGCAATTCCAGGGGTGCTCTCTGGACTCATCGTTATGTTCAGGAAATAAATGTCGAGACTTATGTTCAATGAAAAAAGATCATAAGTTATCCCTAGTGGTAACTTCATAAGATATTTAGAAATTCATAATCTCGTGAAAAAAATGGTTCTTCTCAGAGCCACTAATTTATGTTCAATGAAAAAAGATTATCTGTTAGCCCTAGTGGTAATGTAATTAGACATTTGGAAATTCATAATCATCTCCTGAAAAAAAGAAACTATGCTTTTAAGAGCCACTAATTTATGTTCAATGAAGAAGGATGAGCCATAGTGATAATGTCATTAGAGATGAAAAAGTGGATGCGCAACTAATTTCTAGCTTTGAATTCCAAGTAAGTGTATTTGAGGCAAGAATCCAATGGAAGTATCATCAACACATATTATTAGCACACAGTTTCTCACTATGCACCTATGCATTACCGTTTCCTTTTATCTATAGTATACAGCTTAGACCTCCGATAATGCCATCTCTGAAGTAGATTTTACACCACATTATAGCCAAACATTGATAACGTGCATCATGACATATAGGTAATACGTACAACTATAAAACGAGTTCACATCGTGTCCATCAGCTAGAGCTAAGCTGATATCTTGTAGAAAACCCCAAACAATGTCACAAAAAACCAATACAATATAAAGAAATTGACATAATGTCTCTTTTCTGGATACATAATACCCGTGCGGGTGGCATTCCAAGAATATCTATGCTCTGCGAGGAAAATATTGTTATCGATTTGAGTCATCCTGTCAAGTAGGAGGGGTGAAATTATAACCGCTATTTCCAGTTCTATCCTTACGTACCACAGCTTTTCTTGTATGATCTGCTTATTATAAACATAAATGAAACACATCTCTGCAAAATATATGCTCTATTTTTTCATTCTATTTATTACCACAAGTATTTCAGAAACATTATAAGACTTATCCTAAGTGTGACGTGGACGAATCTTAATGCAGAATTAGTAAGGTGTGCGTTCAAGCAATACATAATAAACATTTATGGTTTTGTCTTACATTTGTCTAAGGTCACGCTTAATAATAAATATGCTTGAATCCACAATAAAACGTTACAAAAATGTTGCTTAAAAAAATTATATTCAATTGATCAAGCAATTGCAACGCCTAGAAGTAGTGTACCAAACTTTACCAAAAGCGGTATAACCATTATTTTTTTAGTAGAGTAGATTATAATTACTTATCACTGAGTAGGCTTAGAAATCAAATGTTGGACTTGATGATGATGCGAAAAAAAATTAGATGTTATACTAGAACACGTTATAAGGGCTTGCTTTCTCTTACTTCTGCGCCTACTTTTGAAATATATGATCCAAATATAACATATCATATTTTTGCAATTTTATTAAAAGGCCCCTTCAAAATTTCGCAATGGATGATACTATCGGGTTTCGCAAATATTTATATTCTGGAAATTTACAATGTTGGACTTGGAGATTAGATATAAAATTGAAACCAGGACATTTTGAGGACAGGGAATGATACAGTCAATTTTTTTTTAATTTCTTTCTTTTTCTAAAGTCTTGCTTCCTCCAACATGATAAACGCGCCTTTCTTCTTCAATGATATTCTTCAATCCGTTTATATTTCAAGTAGATTAGATGATAATTACTCTTCAGGAAAAATTTATTTTTTATAAAAATGAAAACTCTCCTAACATTTGGTACATTATTTCCAGGTGTTACGATTTGTCGATACTCAGTATATTTATGTAGCTTAAACTTAGATTTATATTATTCTCTTATTATTTACATTACATTTATATTACTTTTTTTGGCCAAGCGCAGATCCAGAATATCGGAATATCGTAGTGTTTTTTATAGATAATAATAAAATACCAAAAGGGTTCCCACTTTTTGACTAGTAATACTGAAACTCATTAGCTGCATATATGCCGAGGGACAAAATTGTTAAGATTCAACAACATTTGTCCAAACCATTATTTGTTGAAAATTAGCCAAGTTTCACTATTTAATTAGTTTGATCTCTAACAAAAATGTTTGACTACTAGATTTTGTGGGGGAATTGTCTCCAATTTCCTTCCTGAATCTGTGCCTGAATTTGAAAGATTCAATATATCATTTTTACAACTTTGAAATTTCGAAATGACTTGGAAGCTAGTGAATAAAAAAAATATTCGATCTCTAAAATTACGTAGAATACAAAAATCAACTAATGACATTTTACAATACAGGATTTAGACAGAATAGATGAAGAATTGATTTGAATGGCCGAAATATAAAAATATGCAGACATTTTCATGACTGCGAAAGCTATATCCAAGTATATGTATATCTCTTTCTATTAGATTTTCAAAAATATTCATGGATTACTTTAAAGAGATGAGTTTTTACCCTTCTTTTTCAGCTCCTTGTACTGCACGTGTTTGTCGTGGATTTTCTGGAGGAAGCTCTTAGTCATATTATAGAGTCGTTTCCTGATCATTTTGGTTTTGGAAGGCGTCCCTTTAATTTTCTTAAAACGTTCGAAGTCCACTTCAGCATTGTCCTGAAGCCTATTATATTTTCCGGTCGAGTTGCGTATAGGACTGCGCGCTTTTTCCATTTGTTCAGTCTTTTGGACTTCTCGGATATCTCCATCATCCTGAAAAGAATATATAAGATGCATTATTACGGTATTTTGTATTTATATTGCCATATAGCAGAGAAGAATAAACGATAACCTTTGTGTTGCTGTTTATCTGGAAAGCACGTGCAGAATACAAATTCAAAAATAATTCTCCGTAATCAGTCAAAACAAGACTTACAAGAAGTCCGCAACACGCAGGATGAGAGACGATGGTACTCGTAATCAAATTCTTCTAATGAATACATGTGTGCTGAAATTTTGATCAAATCTGTAGCTTGTTTATTGATGTGAGCACGATCTTTTATAATTTAAAACTAGTATATTATTACAAAAATAGTAAAACAGAGTCAGGTGAAGAGTAATATGGAATATTTGAATTCTTTTTATGGAATGTCTAGAACTGATGGTCCAAGAAATACATAACTGCCGTGGTAGTTCTTGTCAATAGTGATATTTCAATTTAGGCGGATTTCAAATATCTTTCTGAAATGTCTAAAGCAAACTAATTGCCCAAGGACAAATACTGTTGTTAAAAGATGTTTGATAGGAACAGACACATAGAAAAACATTGAAAATTGCACGAACGAACTTCAATATAATCAGAAATCTGAGAATATAATAAAGAGTAACTTGGAAACTATTTTAATAGAAACCGATGGGCTCGTGCACGTTTTTTTTTCTACGATTTTACCACAATCCGCGTCACTCAAGAGCAGTACCAATTTGTACCAAGACGTATGTGGTCTAATGTGTTCTGAATTAGTTAAAATAGTTATTTCAAAAGTCGCATAAGTCATATGAAAATGCAAAATTACTACGTGTGACATGTTAATAAGTTAATGGTTAAGTGTAATTTTTAATAATAACCAGTTAAACAAGTCATATATTTACTGTTTATTTTGTGAATAACGTAGTTTTTTTATTCTCACTGTAAGTGCAAAAGATATGACTCATTTTTCTTCTAAACGTGCTAATAGAGAAACTTAATGGAACAAGTCAGTCAACAGTCCCATTCAATTAGCCCAGAGACATTATTTCCCCTCCCTGCAGTAGTTGCCGTCAATCTGGCAACGTTGGTCCTTACCGTATCGTCAGATGCGGCAGCGCTCACCGAGGTAACGCTGCAGTACGAGCAGAACAGTCAACCATACCGATACGCAGACGGTGAGCCTAGAAAGCATTCCTATATCATTCATGCTTTAGGCAAATGTACAGGTAAGTCTATCACGCGTGGAATGTGGCTAATATCAAGGGTGAGCGTGTTATTATATTACAAAAAATTGAGATATACCTTCCCCCACCCATTACAATGTCGACACGTCAAAGAAACTAAGCTTGAGCGAATTATATTATTTTATTTCCATGCTTTTACCTCTAGCTCCGCCGTCAGTGAACCGATTTCCAAGAACTAAAAATGTTTTTCGTCCTTGGTATAATGGTGGCCATATCTAGAAATTTTATGGAAATCCGAGCGGTACTTCTCAAGTTACAGACAGGAATGAGTGACATGTATAACATCCAAAAAACAAAACATCTTATTTCCGACATTTTTATGACAACATTACTTGCTCGCAGTAGCTCAGGAAGTAAGAAAGACGATTTTTATGTTGCGTATGTTAAAAATTATTCATAAGAATGTCTAGAAAACACTTTCAAATTCTACTTCAAGACGAAGCTTCACTTTTTAATCTGGCCACACATACAGAGCTCAAGGATAAGACATGCTGTGTATTGTGGAAATAGCTAAAACTATGTATAGTAATAAATTTTAGGCCCATCATAACAACAATATCCGCTCATTTAACAGAAAATTGAATAACTAACAAACAGTTTAGAACCAAGAGAGAAAATTATTTGTTAATCAAGAATAGCAGAAATAAAAAACATTCCAATTCCAAACTCTTTTGGATAATAGGTACGTGTATGTCAACTAATTGACAGAATAAACATTCTGGCACATGGCAGATGTACGTCTTAAATACTTATGCAAAATCATAGCTACGACAATCCCATAACATATCGTACCTCCAATTCACAATGCAACAGTTAAGGTGACTATTAAAAAGATAGAGATATACTAGTATTAATGACAAGATAAACGGTGTTTTTTAAAAAGGCTTCCTGCTCAATTTTTCAATGGGTTAAGTGATCTGAAATTTGGCTCGATAAAACTGATGGCCAAACACTATATTTCAGCGTAAAAGCTTTAATGAAAAGGGGCTCATGTGACAACTCACTTTGAAGCTAAAATCTCTTATAATGGCAGATTGGAATGCTATAGTATGACAATCTTATTTTGTAATGACTTCTGTGATTATACTTATAATAAGACCCGAAACATTTCGTTCAATAAAATTCACAGGTTAGGTCAAAATTGAATGTTCAGTATTTCAGTGAATATGAAAGTACTTTTCCAATATAAAGAAATGTGTATAACATATGTTACTATACGTATATATAGCGCTTTGATGACTGCTTGTTGAATTATAAACGATTCAATTCACAATGAGGCTCAATTTTGATCGTCTGATATTTTGTTAAAGATAGCGATTACATATTCCAAGGTTATGCAGTACTTATGTGGGGTTTTGACACGAGGTGTCACGTGATTACCCATCCCATTTGAAAAAATGATGCAAGTTGACGCTCAGCCGCTAGCTTGAAATGTTCAACGGACACTTTTACGCTTAAAATACATGCTTAAGTTTCATCACCCCGATTTCAGCTTGCTAACTTGATAGATTAAAAAATTAGGTAGGGGGACCTTGTTGAAAATCACTGCAAAAGCTTGTTTAAATAAGGCCCTAACCAAAAAACAAGCACTTAGAATTAATGCGTTACAGATCAAAGAAAGGAAATCCAACGTCGTTGTAATTTAAAGAAATATTACCCTCTTGGATAAAAAATAGTAGTCTCAAAACGAGTAGGAATTAAAAATTTGATATCTAAAACTTGACTCACCTCTAGTTCACTGTAGACACTGTAACAAACTTGGTTTTTAGATGAACGCTCCATCTTTACTTCGATGCTTGTAGGTGGTAAGTGCTCAAACAGAACCAACAGAATAAACCAACCTTGTCTTCAACCCCTATATTTATATGCATACATCCCTTCCATGAAACATTAAAGTAACATTAAACCAGATTTGCAAGAGAGTAATAGGGGGTCCTTAAAGTAGTGCAAAACGGCGTTAAGGGACTACTGACCATTATACCTGAACGGATAATCTTAATCCATTCTACTGAAATATGTATCAAGAATTACTTAAATTCCTGACGGTAGACAGGTAATTACAGATTTATAAATAATACTGTTCCCAGAAAAATTCTCTGTCCCAAGGTATCTAGTATGCAGTTGGAATGAAAATTAGGTGTAAATTTTCTTATCATAGATCGGCTGAAAAAATACATAAATTATTCACAATTTCTGCAATTCTTACTACAATTTTAGTTTTATAAGCAGTATAAGAGTTACATTGATCTATTAGTTCTTTATATTTTCTAGTTAGCATGAAATATTTTGATGTAACATATGAAATAAGCTCTCTCTTGTACAACACGAACGCTTTTCGTTGCAACCAATGAATCTCAAGTCCTCTCAAAGTATTCGCTACACATACAAAAATCATTGTGGTAAAAAGGTATCATCAATTAGTAAAAAAATATGTTTCTGTAATTAATAAAATAAATAAATATCACGTCAGATAGCAGTAATACTTCTATCATTGAGGTTAGAAATACATACTAATATACAGTGCAAAATGATCAAAAATTAGGTACTAGTTGAAGCAGCTATTTTCATAAAATTATCATCTACAGCCAATCAATAGAAACTACGTTGATTAATCGTCGGTGATAGCATAATATTCATTTTTTGTCAATCAGTAGAGAGGAAGTTAGCATCTGCTTGAAAAACATTCTGATATGTTTTTTTGCACAATTCTATTATAAAGACCTCTTTTAACGAATATGCATGTTACCCAAAATTGCGTCAAAATCAAACATCTTTCAAACAATTCCCAAAACAATATGAGAATATTTCCTCAACATTATTCAAACATCCATTAACAAAACAATTTGTGTTTTAGGGGTACTATTGTTGTGCACCTTTGTTTTTAATTGCTCGTTGTGTGTATTGAATGACCAAAAAGCATAAAAAAAGTTTCTTGAGAGCCAAACAACAAATATTTAAAATTTGATGAAGGAATGTTTGAACAATTTCTGACGGAGGTTTGGGGCTTGTAACATGCAGATTCATTGAGAACGATCCGTTTTGAATAAGATTACAAAAAAAATAAACGAATATTTTTTCCAAGCAGATGCAAAAATATTTTCTGGACTATAGAGACTTTAGACAAAGATATTTGTTTATAATATCTTCGCCATATTGTATTAGCTCGTTCATGACAAGAATCACGCGTCGTATGACCATACCTTCAATCCCAATCTTAATTTCATTTTTGTAAACAATATTTTCACGATGGGTTTGACCTCATTATGGACTTTGGTCTAAAAAAAATAACCGCGTAAGTCGCTTTCTTTGAATATTTTTGTTGATTGCGCTCCGCCTCTCACTCTAATCTGACAAGAAAAGGGGTTGGTCGTACGACCAACCCAATTCGATTTGAAATAGTAGTCGTTCAAATAAAGCAAACTGTTTTGTGTAAAAATATATTTTAAGCTTCTCATAAAAAGCGTCAACATCGGTAGCAATCATTCAACAATCAAAATTAGAATTATAAAATAAAACTGGATTTAACCCAATAAAAGCACCTAATACTTCAAGGTATGTCTCGTAGAAAGACAAACTACATTTTGGTATTCAGCTCAATTTTAGCAACATTCTGAATATTATTAAATACACTAGAATGACATTAAATATCTTTGAACATGCATACTTAGTTGTGTAGTTCAAGTTAATATTTTCTGAGCACAAAATTTCAAAACATACAGATACAAACGTAAATTTGATTCGCTTGACACCTATGATGCTTATAGATATCTAGTTGAAGTATATTTTAAATAAAACAAATCTGGTTTTCATAATCACCAAATAAATCCATTATTCACTCAAATAATTAAATCCAAGATACCCAAAATGTAATACTATTTATATTACATGTACATTGCTATGTCCAGTGTTCAGATGAAAGATACTAGTACCATGGACGCCCGTAGGGGGTGTCAAGGGGTCCTTTGTCGAGAAAATATTCTACCCCCCGCTCGTCAAAAAGTTTTGGGGGCAGATACACTCTCTTCGATAGTTATCTCTTGCCGATGATCGCTCTACCTGGCAAAAATTCATGCGCGCGCCCACATTTCTGCTGGTTGATCATATTGTATCCACGAGTACCATACGCTACCATAAAATAAGTAAGCACTATATATTTTTTTAATATTGTCTAATGAACATTCTTGTATGCATGGCCTTCTAATAGCGTTAACGATTTGTCAGTTCATACGTAATATCGTAATATGTATTAAATATCTAAGGCGAATAATTGAACTGATAATATTTCGAATATATGACTGTTGTCGATCTTAAGCTCCAGTATGTTTGCTTTCTGAATCGTAAGTTATGGCAGTTTACTAACAATTTTCCATGAAACTTTGGTTTTTAGTCTTCTCACGAAGACAGTGTAATTGCTTAAGTAGCCATGGAGTACATCCAAGTACATATTGCTTTGATTTGTAGTTCTAGTAATATTCTTGTATTTGTAATTCCACCTTGCACATTTTAATGAAACCTTTCATTTAACTCATGTTTAAAAGTCATATTGTTGTTTTTCAGAAGTGTACCTACGAAATGATCTGACGTACTATATTTCAAAGGTTCACCAAATAATGTAGTTTTGCTGGAACACGTAGAATCATCAGGACTTTTTGATGAAATCAAAGCTGTATGGGCAGCGTCAGTTGTATTTATTTCTACAATTATCTTATGGTGTCGGCTGCTGGCGGTTTTGGAGATAAGGAAAAAACCAAAACATTGCTCATACAGATATTTTCTAAAACTAGTAGGCCATGTCTTCAACAGCCTGTACTAAAATAATACCGCGTTTTGGCAACTTTCCTCCTATCAATTAGCGATATGCCGTACTGGTGATGAAAATATAAAAATGTTTTGTTTTTTGCTTATAACTCCAAAGCTGTTGAAAATATATGAATCATTTGATACCTCAAAATATGAATGTAAATGCACTATAAAACACTATATCAAAATACAGAATGTTTCTTCTAAGTACTCAAAATGTATTCCATGTTCTACTACAGCTGCATCATAATGATTCAAAAGAAATCTAATAGTAATGGTCTAAGAAATAAGGAACTTAACACTAAACATACCAAACGACCGGTTGTGGTCGATAACGGTGCATAAAAAGTCATACTCAAAATGAACAGGATACAAATGAAGTACTGACTTTTATATAATTGATAGAAAAAAGTGCATAATGCGTCTTTTGAAAGCTGGCATGTTTTGTGTTAATAATATATGTACATAAGAGATCCACCGAACAGCAGTCAGTATCTCTTAAAAACAAGTTTGGCAACACTGTGATCGTGAAACGTTTTCTAACAGGCAAGACAGGTATCTAATCTGTCTTCGGGTATTATTACACATAGTGTGTTATGGAACACATAATTAGAATAGAATACCTTCCATATGTACGATCGTTTCTTCTTGTTTTCCAAAAACTGTAGTGACTACCCAACTTATAGACAACATAAATAAAAAGTTCTCATGCTGAGCAACAATTTCTTGTCTTACTGCGAGATTATAAAACAGATACGAAAAAGTCACTATTTAGATTTTTTGGAATAAGTGCTAATTTTTGCAAAAGCTTATGCCCATAAACTTTTCATGACGCTTGCAACATTTACCGTCCCTATTTTTCAATGAGTTAATCGTCTTCTTTAGCCAATCGGAGTGCTTGAAAAAAAGCCCTTTTAGTCTATCCTTCAGTTTTTTCTCTATGCATTCTTTCTCGTCAGGAACTTCTTCATTTGGATCATTTCTGGATTTGCCGGATTTCTTGAATGACTTCTGGTTTCTGCTTTTATAAGATTTGATATCCTCAAGCAGCCTTTGCTTAATGTCACGTGATATGACTTCGCTCCTCTGGGCCTTCCCATCGTCTTCGTTTGGGATACAGAAGGTCATATTGGCATCACAAAGCTCCTGCGGCAGCTATAAGAAATAGTATAAAATTAATATTTTATATTTTTGGTTTCAAGAAATAATAGTAATAATGATAGTAATACTAGTCTGTGAAAATAATGCCTATCATAATATCATCTACGGAAGTTGTTCCACAAGGTGCCGTCGATGGAATCAGAGCGCTAGGTATGAATGAAAATATCATCAAGGTCATGCAGAGGGCGGCAGTAATCATTACTTGCGGCATCGTTAGAAAAGCACTGAATCTAAAAGAATAGATAACCTGGAAGTACAGCCACCGTGAGACTAGAGAAAATAATAAAAAGTCATCTTTATTATGGGGCGAGGTTTGACATAATGCTACTCTGCCACTTGACCACACAAAAAGTGAAATAGAATACAAAACATAAAACAACTAACATTTGATAAGTTAAAAATGTAGATGAATAAAAATATGATGTATATAAAATATAAGCAAGTGAAGTTTTGAATGTATAGATTGTAACAGTTATACAAACAAAATACTGTTATATTACAATATTTGTATGAGGTGACAGATAAATTTTAGATTTATGTATTTTTATTCAAAATAAATTACTTCATGTCTTTTAAATTCATTAGGCAGCAGCGGTGGCCGCAGTAGTAGACTCTTCGGTGTCCTGATCAGTCGCCGTGCGCTGTGCGGGTTCGAGTCCCGTCCCAGGAGAAATTTTTCTCTTGGCTATGGATGTTGTGATTGTCCGTAGGTGGTAGACGGTCTCTGACTGTTGAACGTGGAGGTACCACCCGGCGGATCTCGTAGGCGGAGCCAGAATGTGTGCATGTTGCATGCATGTTCCCTCGCCAGAGTCCGTGTGGTGTCCCCCCTTTCCCCTGTATCCCCCTATAACCCCACGGTACCCAATGGGTGTTTAGGCCTTAGGCCTTCGTGGTAGTTGGAGTATAAAAAAAATCATATGATAGTAATTTTGTGGCTCGAGGTATATCATTGTACAAAACAACTGCGTTGTAGGTGAAGCATTTACAAAAGAATGATGTCTTGTGAAGGGGCATAGAATGAATATTGCTAGGGAGATATCAGCTTGTCTTTCAAAAAGGGGAGGGGGACTGGATGAGAGCAAAAGTCTATGGGTGTAAGTAACTAAGTGTAGCTCACACTGTACCTTTACTCTCAATCATTCTATTTCTTTGGGAAAATAGCTGATATAATCATATTTTTTCAAATTGTTCATCAACCCACAACATGAATTTTTGATTGTATAGTGACGAGTGAGAGATATTGAAACGAGAACTGGAAGATAAACTAAATCACAATAAATAATTTTGGATATTACCAAATATTAACACAAAGCCTTTTTAATTGTATAGTCAAGACATTTTTTATCAAGGTAAAATTGACGTAATATGGATAAACAACTCTTACTGGTATTATTTACACGTAGTATTAAATTTTATTCATCTAAGTTTTTGGCTGGATCTATTTATTTCTCTAGTCTCACCATTTAAGTTTATGTTAAAATTTATTTTGGGATTGCTTCTAAACAGTTTAGGATTTTAATGGGTTCAGTTGAAGGTTATGGTTCTTTGCCTATATAATCGATTTTTTATCTTCACTCAATTTAGTTTCAGCACTTTGAATGTTGTGATTATGGAAATATCTCTAGATCATAGTCGGAAAATAACAGGATATTGCAATATTTCACAACTCCATGCAAATCATAGAAACATATAAAATGAATAGAAGTGGTCCAAGTACGGACCCTTGGGGTACTCCGTGTACACTGTGTATACTTTCATATCGATTTCCTGAAAAACGGAGTCAAATACATCGATTCAGCACTTTTTACATGTTGGTGTACGCTCATTTTAAGCTTTAAGAACACACTTTTCTTGACGACGTCGTTCAGTGAGCAGAAAGTTGAAAAAAGTTTAATATTGTGAAAAGTTTAAAGCCTCCAAATAGATTTTTTACCACGCTCAAAAAATATAAGGAACCCAAAAATCATCAAAAAGCTAGTTTCTTGTGTGAAAACTTCATCAAAATTTGTACAATACTTTTAAAATTGTAAAAAGGACAATGATTACTGGACAGGCAACTGCCAGGCATACGAAAATAGACTCTCGTAACATACCAATATAAATTTTTCAATTTAAATATATAAATAACTTTAAATTTAAAATTAAGTAAAATCTATGTTGATTTTGAATTACCAATTTTAAGTGTTCAAAGCTGCGAGTTGTTACAGCTAGTTCTTCATAAAATTGGACAATAAAAAAAGAAATAACATACATCAGCATCCTCATAGCATTCTTCAGCATCGTCGGTCAACGAATGAACGCTGATGAAATGGCCCGCAAGAATGCCTGCGGGAATCGTGCTTCTTCCTCTAACCCTCAGCTTCTTGGGGGGTTGATGGAGGTACCCGCACCATTTCTCGTACTGATCGTCAGTTTGGCTGTCCAAAGACACTCGCCTTCTTCGTAGAGGCGAGGAGGTTCTCTTGTAGAACGATATTTGCTTCGAGGCGGATGAAAAGTTGGTGTAGAATGTCATGATCTGTGAATTTATTATGATAAAATGTTTATGTCTTGTATTTTTTTATACAGGTTCTCAAACATATTGTGAATGACTTATTGGTCGCATTATTTTAGCAGAGGCATAGCTACCACCGTATCAGTGATACGTGGCCCCAGGCTGACAGGGGCACCACGTACTGAAGAAAAATGCGTGGTGTTATTCATTACGCAAAATTAAAAATTCTCAGGCGCTTAACCTTAGATCGTACAGCTAGGTGGTAGTAGCATGCTTTCTGTTTTCATCAGTCTAGATCACAACTGGTGAAAAAATGTACACCTTGGAAATTTCAGATACTCATTTGAAAACTTTTACCAACAAAGACAAAAACAGAATACAAATAGTGGGTTTATAAAGGGTCTTCAATACCCAAAAAGAGAGGAACGCAACGCTTTGCTAGAAAATTCATAGCAACATATTTCTGAGACATCGGGTGCATCCCTTTCATCGAAAAGATGCCAAAAGAGACAGCAATAAATATGGAGGTCTATGCAAACACGCTGAAAAATATACCCCGAAGAATCAATCCGAAAAGACGCGATTTTTCTAATCGAGTGCTTCATCTGCATGATAATGAGACTGGTTGCCAAAATTAGACCAATTGGCAGGAATGCAGCTTCGTTGAGTGAGGTACACCAGCTTCCCTATAGTCCAGACCTGACTGCGTCTGACTTTTCTCTTAAAATTACTAAAGAGTAACGTCAATATGACTCGGATGATGGCTTGAAACTGGACATCGACTTTTTGGAGAGAAAATATTCTTGTATGAGGGCATAAGTTCACTGGAGGAGAGGTGGAGGGGGGATGATATCGTAAAAATAAAATTAAAAAAATACGTCTTTTGTTCCATGGATAAGTAGATTTCTTTTCTAGTACCCCTCGTAAGTTCAGCTAAATAGTACTTGGGTAGCCTCCATGTTCACCAAATATGAAAAGAAATGGATTGCAATAATAGTGAACAAAAGCGGACAGTAGGATACTTGACTAGTATTGGGCAGACTTTAAATCCCTATTCAAAGATTAAAAGGAGGAACAAATGAAGATGTATCTTCACTTACCGTATTTCGCTGTTCTCTTTTCCAATTAAGAAAAAACACCTTTGAGCAAAGTCTTCTGTTATTATGTCTAAAAACTCATTTCTACTCCTTTTCACACCAATTTTCAACTTTAAAAGAGCTAATAATAACTCTTATGGCGGCACTACTTCATCGTAAGACATTTTGTCAACAAGGACATGAGAAAATGAAGATTATATACAGGTATTCTAGTAAATGATGTTTTGTCCAGTTTTTGTTAACAATGTCGAATAGTTCAGAAATTACGAAAATTTTTGTTTTGGCCAGTGGCGGCTCAAAATACATCTTCAAGAAGTCTGAACTTATAGCTACAGGGTGCTACGAATAATTATGTTTATGTTTTTTAAGCTTCAGCACCCTGTATATTTTTAATGAAGATATCGAGAAATGTTACATAGAAGACGCCCCTTGAAATGCGGTCCTGTGTATGATCTTAGATTTTTGGTCACGACTTGTGAATCACCCTGTATATGGTTTTAATTCACAGCCACAAGGCACGGAAATTTATCTATTTTTTATTTCGTGAACACAGTATTTTGTATGTCTTATAGCCAGGATCAGGAAGAAATACATGAAAACACAGGAAAAGGTCATAAAATTTATTTCTGCAAATTGTATTATTTCCAGTTGTTCAGCGAATACTTTTTAGAAACAACGCTATTTAGATCTTCTTAACAATAATGATATGGCATCACTAATCTCTTGTTAAACTTCATAATCAACTATTGAGTAACTATGTAATGGACGAAACGAAGTTACAAATCGTACAAGGTATGTCATATCACATGCTATAACGTCATCATTTATTTTAAATTAATGCCTAAATACCCTTTCAAGTCAGTTTGTCTTTGTACTATACAAATAAGCTGCATTTAGATACAAAAAACTATATTATAAATAACACATTTTTTCTGCAAAAGTCCCCGGTTGGTACTGAGGTGGCATTTTTGAGAATATATTTGAACTTGTGTATATCATATATTGAATACACCACATAAACACAGGTCCACAAAATGAACAACATGGTTGACAAATATGAAACTAATTTCGACATCAGAATTATTTTTTTTCCGTAGTTGTACATTTCTGAGAGACCTCTGCAGAAATGCACATCCACTAAAAATGCCAAAATTTGTGATATTAGTCGTGCCAAAATTACCTTCTTATTTGTTCACCGACCCCCAATTTCGACTGCAGCCTCGCCACTTTTTTATTTTGCGGGCCTGTGTAATTTATAATCAAAACCGGCACAAACAGTGTGCTCGTATGTATGCTATCCGCAAAATCATAAATATAAATACCGTCTGTTTCCATCAAAAACTGAGCTACGTTATAGCTGATTTTGGGCAATGATCCACACTCAAAATTACAAAGAGCTCATATACCACTCATGTAGGAGCATTTCTGGGAGAATGGGTATCATTTATTAATGATACATAATCAACTGACCTTGATCAAAATGAATATAAATAGCTATGACTTACAGTCTCGTATACAAGAGAAAATCAAAATTAGCAATTTCACGACACAGTATTGAAAAAACTAAAAACTTTGGGATAAACTGCTGATCATCTGAATCTACGACTGAACTACAAGTGAGTGCCTTTAGAAGACAACTGAAACAACATCTAAACGAAGTATCTTTTCATAATGTTTAGCATATACTCATGAATATCTTTAATTTCAATATTTTTCATACTTACCGTTTTACTGAAATCTATATGTCAAATATATTGTTAAACTGACTGGTTTTTAATAGATATAATACGAGGGATGTCTTTTAAGTTTTGCATATAGAAACATAGTAGGCCGCGCGGATCGAACGTCAGTACAGAATCTTAACCTAAACTTAAATTCAAAGTTTCACAGCGATACGTGCAGTGTTCTCATTACAGTGAATTTTTAAGTATCACCAAGTCATTAGAAAAATGGAACTTAAACGAGAACATTTCCTCGACATACTTTATTACAGCTTTCAGAGACAATTATCGCAACAAGAATGCCTTACTGAGTTACTGTCTGTTTTCGGCAACGAAGCGCCACATCAGTCGACAATTTCCCGTTGGTATGTAGAATTCAACCGTGGACCAGGAAATAAACTACAGTCGGCTGTTTGGGTGTTCCAAGGTGAAGAAAAGCCAACAAAAGTTATCCGTTCCCGAAGTGTTTTGAAAAATGTGGTCGCGACATTGTGTCAAAAGCGGGTCATATTGCAACAATTTCTCTTAATGAGCAAAGAACTGTTATTGCGGATTGGTATACCACCATTTGCTTGCCAAAAGTCATCACCGAGCTTCGAAAAATCAACCCCGAAAGAAAGATCATCCTCCAACAAGACAATGCATGCTCGCACACAGCCCAAAAAACAAGGCAGTATTTAACGGAAGAAAACGTGGAATTATTGGACCATCCCCCATATAGTCCCTTTCTTTACTTTCCTGAAAATTAAAAACAGACTGCGTGGTCAAAGTTTCCAGTCACCAGAAGAAGCAGTTGATGCATTCAAAAATGCCGTTTTGGATATGCCAGCAAACGAGTGGACTAAGTGCTTCGAAAATTGGTTCAAGCGCATGCAGATATGTATTAATCTTCATGGAGCATACTTCGAAAAACAATAAAGTCATTTAAAACTACCTACCGTGTTGTTTTATTTCCATATGCAAAACCTAAAAGACATCCCTCGTATATTCTCCATTCTACTATCAAAATTTGCACAATACTGAAAATAAATATATTCGCTATAAAGCTTTTACACAAATGATTTTTTTTTTAGCGATGGACAACAGCAAATCGGCTTCTCCTACCTCTGATCGAGAGTGACCCTACTATTTCAGGTCTCTAAACATTTCCTTAAATTTACAATCTGAAGACCTTTGAGCCTGCAGCTATGCATATACATCCTTTACAAGTTTATGATTTCAAGACTTTATATTATGAAATTCTGACATACCTTGCCCACATATTATTTTCATACTTTACAAAAGTATCTTTATTGTCCTACACTATATATGATTTTATTTAAAACAGCGTCTATTCAACTAGGCGATATTTTGTTGTAAACTTTACGTCAAGCACAAAATTACGGGGTTGTATCCTGCACTTTGATTATAACCCAAGAATTTCTTTTATTGTAGTTCACGGTGAGTACTTTGACAGGTCAGAAGGTGTTTTTAAAGACTTCCTATAGACATAGATACTAAAATGTCTTTACAGGATGTTGAGCTTGTATTTATGGAATCGAGAACAAGCTAAGCTTGTGTAGGGTTGCAATCTCTTAAAATACACTAGTCGGTCTGTGCTCTGCATTTAGCTGAGCATTTGGCCCTCAAAGTTGGACATTATCCACTTTAATAGCTACAGATAAGTTTTATACAGCCCAAGACAAAAGTGGATCCAGCCTTTGAGTCAGGGAAGCTCACTTAGTCACTGTGGCGGATTGAGGAAGGCTTGGGTAGAGATGGTAGGTAGGAAAGCTCGATTTTCAAATCAAATCCAAACGCAATCTAACGAAACGATCCACATAAAAATCGAGGCGTTAATCATCGATTTATAAGAAATCGAATTTTTTTGATTTTGTAAGTACAAAACAGGCAACAGGGAGTTCAGGAAACTAAATAATTACAAGCGTTCCTATTGCCGTTATATTTTTAATTGCTTATATTTAAATTGTCAGTTTTGTGTCGGTGGATCGGTACAGTGCGGTATATCGAATTGAAAAATCGATTTTTTGATTAATGGATCCCAGACCCCCATCACTACTTTTGTGAGAGCGAATGTGGCTTTGGCTGGTCAATTTCGACTCCCATGACCCTCTGGATCCGCGCCGTGACTTAACTCCAGTACTTAATGAAAATACTTTTTGTTTCTAAATGAGGAAAGAGATGCAGGAATTGGTAAATTTTGATTTCTACAAAAAAAGGTTGCTACACTGATGAATCTTCCAGAAGCCTAGTATTAATTTAGTAGTATTACCTCTGCTAAAAATGTTCATAAGTGCATTCTTTGACGACGTCCGGGTATTTCGTAGGCAGATTTTTCACAATTATTAATCCCCCTTCTCCCTTGTCAGCAAAAGTAAGCAGTGGTAATGATCAATATCAGAATTATAATCCTGATGAATTTGTTGGATAACACTCATATTCTATCCTTAGCCAGTGCAGTAGAAATTCACACCAGCTCCTATGACGGCAAAGATCTATTTTAGGACCTACGTTTATAGTTAATTTTCGAGCTATTTCTCGTATTATTTTTGAACTTATTTATGTATTATTGTGTTACAACAAAATATTACCTCGGGCCAATTGAAATCGCCATAACCGTGTGTTCTATATTATTTTATCAATTAACTATAAATAGACTAAAATAGATTCGCTATAACAAAATAAAGTGAAGCTTCTATTATGTATAATCGCTTTGTTACGTACAGGGCGATTCATCGTTGAAGGGTATTTCTTGTGTCGTCAGGAAGCTCGTATAATAAATACTCTTTCAAAATGAAAAAAAAAAAATGCGGTTGGGGTTCCTAGAATATATATAGAATCATGTGACAAATGTTTACTTTAAAAAATATAATATTATTCGAAGTTTGTAGATTCACTTCCACCAATTTGTACAGAATTTTTCTAAACGCTATACAAACATTCGCTTTTGCATCCGTAGAATATTTTCCAAATTATCACACTTATATCCACTCGGGTAATTTTCAAATAATATTCACTAATCTTACCTAGGTGAAAGAATACCCTTAAATAATGAATCACTTTGTATGCATATCGACGAGGTATTCGCTTTTATACAGGGTGTTTGCATTGATACAACACTTCATGCATAGTAAATCTGAATAGTTGCTACCACAACTCGCACCTTTAACCATAACCCCTTGCTTAATTTTATGTCACAGAATTCTGAAACTTTTCTTTTCGTACTTCATGATCGCGACTTCGCACAAAAGTTTGTAACAATGCAATGCAATTTTGGAGTATAAAACGTTTGTGAATATACAGAGTGTTTACCCGCAGGTCATTGTCTATAAAAGTAACTACAGAGTTAGTAATCCAATTGCTATTTCTAGTTAAAATAAAAAACAGTTGCTGAGAAAAAGACGGCTAACCAAAATTTTTTTATTAAGTATATAATAATAATTTATTTATTTATCTACAATCACATTGTAGTATAGCCAAATTGTGAGATTTATATGGCGAAGTTTAGCATGTTGCTACTCT